TTGTGGCCAGTTTTATATTCAGATATTCTCTTGTGTCCTCCAGAGCTTTTGTCTCTACCAGTGAGACGAAACATTAACATAAACACTTAAAGCTGCTATAGCGAACAAGCTAGGTTTTAAACGCTAAACGGTCTCTCGTCTCGGGTATCTAGGTCCAAACTTCTTCTGTTGCCCGTGACTTCAGATGGTGTTTTTCATTTTGGGACTCTGCTAGTTTATCCTAAAGTTTAAGTGGCAGCAGCTGGCTGTTTCTCCCCCTCTGATATCACACTGACACTACCCTACTTCATTCAGGTTTACCTTCTGCTTAGCCGTCTGTGCAGTATCCAATATGCATGTAGCACAACTTTGCACCATTTGGTCATTTATTGTTTTTACTGTTTGTGTTTGACTGCACTGGAGGAGCTGCTTTTAATCTCATATAGTGACAATAAAAAGGCATTCATTTATTCATTCATATTACTGAGTGAAGAACCTCTCACTCCAGTGCTGTTCTGCTGCTAAATATGTGAGTGTGTTATGAATGGGGGACCGAATGGTCCAATGGTTGCTTCTGAACCGAAATATTTTATTGGCAGAGGCTTTTAGACAAACATGAGAAAACCACTTTATTTATATATATATATATATATATATATATATATATATATATATATATATATATATATATATATATATATATACAGGTCCTTCTCAAAATTAGCATATTGTGATAAAGTTCATTATTGTCTGTAATGTACTGATAAACATTAGACTTTCATATATATTAGATTCATTACTGACAACTGAAGTAGTTCAAGCCTTTTATTGTTTCTAATATTGATGATTTTGGCATACAGCTCATGAAAACCTAAAGTTCCTATCTCCCTAACTCCTACACGTATATTAGTGCTAAACTGTATGAGGATCTTTAAGCTTGCAGTATTTATTTTTAGAGTTTTGACAGCAATATGCTTGAAAAGTTTTTACATTTAATCATTAAAGGTACAGAATCTGTCTGGATGTGTTACCTATAATTGTCCCTGTCATCTGTCTGACCTGTTTATGTGTGAGAATATTTCCTGCTCAGAGCCAGAGCTGCCACGATAGTCCCTTCTGGCATCCTGGGGGCAACCCGAGGGCCATGCCAGCTGCACCGAGCGCCAGACTCTGCCCTCGCCTCGCTGTTGGCATTTCTCACTTGCTTCATTGTCCCTAATACCTTGACGCTCCGCAACAACACACATGCAAACACACGATAGCATGTGCTTGTGGCTGTCAGCCACCTGTGGGTCCTTCCACACACACACGCACGCACACACACACACACACACACACACACACACACACACACACACACACACACACACACACACACAGAAACATTATGGTCATTACAAATGCAGAGTCAGGTTTCACAATGCCGTGCACCCTGAGTCCAGGTGTAGAGCTGTAACAAGTGTCCCACCAACACAATAGCAGCTCCATTCTCCAGCATGCACGCGCACACACACACACACACACACACACACACACGTGCATTCACATTCTTTTGCTGCTCACATTCTCTAAAATATGCATTTCCACACACTCCAAAGACAACCAAACCTCGCTGCTGCCTGCAGTGCAACAATGCACAACCAGTCCACAGGTCAGGGGTCAGTTATTCCAGAGAGCCAGCCAGCTGAATGAATCTGAACCAGACTGTCTGGGTTTGTTTCCAGGTTAGCTAACGGAGGTCAAAGCCTCTGCAGAATGGTGTGAATTATTCCACATTTTTCTAGAGAGTGTGTGTATTCAAAAGCACTTTTGCTGGTAACCCCTTCCAAGTTTACAACCCAAGCATCGGTGTGTTTATTCATAGAGGTCCCAGGGGCCACAGTGAGAGCAGGAAAATGACATTAAGCTACGAGGATCCCCTTTCACCTCCCCCGTGACTCTCCCAAACATCGCCCTTGGCTTTTGGAGCTCCACAAAATTGAAACCCTATCGCATCGCTGTTGTTTTGGGGACAATAGCTGCTGGTTAAGTATGGGGCAAGAAGAGTACAGTAACTCACAAATGTGCCCCTCGGTGCCTGTTCTACTGCTGAAAGACAGGTTTACAAAACGGCCTGAAAGATGTAAAACATCGGGAGCACTTGCTAATGCCATTAATCTTCCAAAAGATGAAGGAAAACAAGTGAAAATGTTGCTTAAAAACCATAATCAAGATGATAATGTAGATAAGGCCTAAAACAAGTGACTACTGACAGCCCGTGGCTTTGCTTGTTGTGAATCTGGAGGTGAAAACATGTCCTGTGTCAGAAGTGAAACAGAAACCCGTTTGTCTCTGACAGGTGGGCAGGTTCCGTGTCAGCCCTTTTCTGATGGTAGGCTTTTCTTTTTGAAGATACTCCAGTAAAATCAGCCGCGGTTGTTTCTGTTTTCACCAACTACAAACCTCCTCTCCATGGTCAGATGAGTTAACCCGTCTACTAGTTTTAGATCTTTGACAAACATTTAATCAGACTTCCCTTCCCTGGAGCTTGTGTTTGTTTTACATTGAGGTGTGACACTCTAAAGTTCTGTCTTCATGCCAAAAATCGGCCAAGGAGAGCAGCAGCCGAGCTTCAAACAAAGCGTACGAAAACAGCTATTCCACTGCCCTTGATCCTTGGGAATATACCTCAGCTGAGACACAGGAATGCCTCCTGGACCCTCTTCCAGTTTGTCATCCCATCAGGCCGCTCTGCTTCAACAAACACACCAAAGTCCTGTTTGTTTGCTCTGAAAATAATCGGCCTGGAGCTTGTTTTTTGATCAGCGTGGTATAATCCTTGCTCAGATGACATCTCTGTGTGGTGCACTTTTAGACAAGTCCAAAGAGTCCTAGCTTATTCCCACAGATTTCATTTGGGCCCAGCATGGCTGCTCTGCTTGAAAAGTGCAAACAGGTGTCATGTTGTATCGTGTTTTAAACAGAATTTTCTGGAAAAATAGACACTAAAATGGGTTGCATGTGCAGGTTGCACCAACGACCTTTCTGTTTAAAGCTGTTTTAGCAAACTTGCAAACAAGCTAGGTTTTGAATGCAAATTCAGTCACTGACCACCCTTCCCTCCCCTTGAGTATATTCCCTGGATCTACATCCATCTTGAACTAGAAACCCGCATTGCCAGAGGAAGCGAGATGGTGCTAAACACCAGTCGCCGTTTTCTAGGTCTAAACATCTTCTGTTGTCCGTGACTTCAAATGGTGTTTTTATTTTTGGGACTTTGGTAGTTTCTCCTGAAGTTGAAGTGGTAGCAGCCGGCTGGTTCTCCTTCTCTGATGTTATTGAGCGGAGAATCTCTCACACCAGTGGTGTTCTGGTGCTAAATACGTGAGTGTGTGAGGATCCAGGGCAGTGCGGCGGTTCGGTGAGATCGACAGTCAGATGGGCCAATAGTTGTTTTTGGTCCGAAACGTGTTATTGGTGGTTAAATCAGCATAAAGCCTGCATGGCAGACTCAGAGTGACTGATCATTTTCTAAAATGGTAAAAAAGGGTTTCTCAGTGAACCTGCTGCTCCAGAGGAAACGTCTCTTTTTCTATTTCCCTGAATATCTCTGCTTTTCTACGTGTCCATTTCGTCGTCCAATTCTTAATAAGTTTCAGTCAGTCTGTCTTTTCTTGCCCAGTTTGAACAGTTCTCTCTCTCCTTAACAGAGAAATTCAATGCAAATCATCTGGCCTCACCACTGCCCAGCTGTGCATCTGGCACCAAACATTCTGGCAGCTTTCAGTTTCCTTCACATTTTCCCTGAATCTGAGTTTGCCAATCGTTTCTCAAAATGCAACTGTTGAATATTTTCGATTTAACCAACGGTGGTGCACCTGCCAGTTTCAGAACTTCTAAAAGTTCTATTTGTTTGTAACTAAGTGAAGTCACCAGGAAAAGAAAAAAAAACTTTCCTGATTTATTGCATCACCATTGTTCTCATCTTCAAAGCCTCCCTAAACAAGCCACCGCCAAGGTTCACACAAACCTCAAATAATGGTTTTATGACCCGGGCAGTTGTTTGGTAGTATGGTTAGGTTTTTTTAAGCCACAATAACAGCACATTTTGAATAAATCATTGCAATGGTTCAACCTGAGCTCCTCCCGGCTCCAGTGAAGAGGTCATCGTTCACTGGAGCTGATAAAACAACAGAAAGTTCAAGCCTGGTCAAGCAGCCAGGTCAAGGACCTAAAGAGACACTAGAGGCCTACAACCCTCTGGGTCATTAATAATTAATGAAACCTGAGGCTAGGACAGAAGACCATGACTAAACACATAAAGGGCTGAAGCGGTGAGAGCAGGGCTGGGCAGTAAGGGAAGGGGTAGGGCGGTTGGGAGGAAAGGGAGTATTGATAAAGAGAAAAGAGCTGGGTTCAACTCTGGCCACAGTGTGTGCTTTCACTGTATGCTTCAGAGGCTACAGACACAACAATCTGCACAAGCCAGTAGCATGTGGAGACCAAAGAGGAGGGCTGCAGAGAGAGATTTAGGTTTTTAATGTATGTGAGGAAGCAGATGCTCAGAGATGGGGAGGGGGTGAGGAACTTACCAGTTGAAGGGGAAGAGGGTGGTTTAAAACATGAAAGTTATCTCACTGTTTCCCAGTCCTGAACGCCACCACCCAACAAAGCACTCTCTTGCCCTGAAGGTACGATGATGTTGGGACCTCCATTACGAGGTCTGCCTGATGAAAGAGCAGCTGGGAGCGGGGGGCTTAGCAGGTTAGGCACTTAACCCTCCCCCATTACATGTGAAAGAAGATTGTTCAACATGACTATATAGCAAGTCATTTTTAGGACGGTCCATTCAAACAAAGAAATCCAGTCCGAGTCCCATTCTTTGCTCTATTCTTGATGAGTTATTTTTAATACACTCTCCAGAACATGTCTATTAGTTGTGAACGTAAGTGTGCTGAATCTGCAGCCATCTCTCTGTCAGGTTTGCAACCACAACAGAAAGTGTTCTCTTACTGGGAACTTTCTCTGTGTTTTCTTTGCAGAGTTCCTCAGACGACTGCGATCTTCACGAAGGAATTCAGGTGGGGAAAGAGGGCATGTACCGTCTGCAGGTGACCCAGTTTGTCCAGAGGTTAGAGTACTGGCACAGGGACTTGGCCAACACCTTGGTGACGTCCATTACTGTGGTTCCAGTCCATGGTCGCACCGTGGCATACCTTGGAACAGCAGATGGATTCCACATACAGGTAAGGACATAGAGACTGGCCTCTTGAATTGTGTGAATAAATGCTGTTTGTTTGCATCTATGGCCATAGGTTTTGAGAGAAACAAACATCATGTGGCACAGTGTTTGCTGTTTTTTATTGACAGTTTGTATGAATGCCAGAATGTATGAAGAGTGATCAGATGAATTACAATTAAATTCAAAACCCCTCTTTCCCATAAAAAAAGTTTACTTGTCCTAGAAAACCCATTACCTCTGTGAAGGAAGTGTTAGAGGTCACGTGTGGGATCTGGGCTCCAATAGTGAAGATGTGAGTTCATCTGCTCCATGATGAGGAGAGAACTTGTGTCAAGAAGGGCAGCAGAGAAGCCAGTAATATACAAAAACGTCAGGGGACATCAAGGGTCTGAGACAGGACTGCTGAGAACCAGAAGAAAGACATGTTCTCTTATGAATCTCTTTTCTGGTTGTTTGGAGTTTGGGGGGAAATGATCATCAAGAGAAGAACAGGTGAGAGCTCCCATCAGAGACTATTCATGTTTTTGGAGGTGTTTCTCAGCCAAAGGAGAGGACTCACTCAGAACAGTCATGAAAAAAGAATGGTACCTAAACATCCTCCTAGAGGAACTCCTCCAACCGTCCAACAACAGTTTCGGCTTCATGAAGCACTGGGCCAGAAGGATAAAGCCAGTGGATCAGGAACAAAAGTCAACATGTTGGGTCAAAAAAATTTGATAGCAAACTTTGTGAAAACCATTTCTTGTCATTCTCTGAACTCGTTACCAGAGTTGTAAACAGAAGCCGTTTCTCCCTCTGTTGTTGTTGAGGGAAAGTTCTGTCGTTCAGAGACACAACGCAGTCCGTTACACATGTCTCTGCAGGAAACAGGTTGGGAAATCTATGACCCAGCATCTTTTCTGTTTGCCCAGTTTGCTTTTGTTGTACTGTGCTCAGTAAGACTCTAGAAAGGTGCACGTTCATCTCTGCCATCTGTGCAAACACGGCTCCTTTTATAGCACCAGTGAGGTGTGGATTCCACCACCCTTATCATGGTGTAGTTGGAACCCGAAAACATGGCTGTCAAAAACACTAATGTATGTTTTTATAAGGTGTGATGAGCCCCATTGGTTCAGCCTTGATACGTTTTACTGCTCATTCCAACGATAATCAGAAGTGAGAGTTGAATTTTACTTATTAACACAACTTCAATTTTAAATGGTATTCATTTAAACACCTGATTCCTGATAATTAGTAACCATGTAAGTGTGCTGCTTCTGTGTGATCTTAAAAACGACTTGCTGAGCAACTCTGCCATTTCCTCTGCAGCTTTGGTTTAATCATCTCCTCCAGCCAACGCTGCAGCTGCAGAGGCAAGTGCAGTCAGTCGCTTTGACTTTATGCATCAGTGCAACACTATGGCTAAAGGAATGACCACATAAAGTAAAAGCCGAATAATCCCACGTGTTTTTGAAACACAAGAATTAAAAGATATCCATGAAAAAAATCAGTAAGAGAGACATGGGGGGGGGGGGGGGGTACTGACAGCTGCAGAGAAAGGCAAGGAGCCGCCAGCGGGCCTGAAGGGGCTTACAGGCTGAACAGCGTGTCAATAGTGAACGGTGGTCTTCGCTGACATGTCCTCTCACATGGAATATTCTGCTCACTGAGGGTCCTGTGCAGCTGTTGCTGTGTGTTTCTGCACCATCAGCCACCACTCCACTCATATCAGTGTGGCCTGGCCAGCTGCCTGAGCCTCATAAAATCTCAGTAGAAATTGAACAAAAACTTCTGAAATAAAATTTTTTTTTTTACCACCCAACATTAATAGACAAAGGATTGGTCATAATGTTGTGTGTGTGTGTGTGTGTGTGTGTGTGTGTGTGTGTGTGTGTGTGTGTGTGCGTGCGTGTGCGTTAGCTAAATCTTACAAAATCTTCTTTAAATTACAACCAGTTGATTTGGGGGGGGGGGGTACCTTCTGTTAAAGATGGCTGCTAAGAGACTTTCAGGCTCAAGTGCCAACAAATCATTCAAATTCTAGCAACATTTAGACTCAGAGAGAGTAATCCAGACTGGGACAAAATTGTTATAATTTTGCTATTGAATAAGTTATTTCCTTCTACGAGTTTATAAACCTGCTCTGTTGATGGGCTTGTACACGTTTAAAACATTGTGCAACCAATTTCTTCTTAAAACAGTTACAGATTCATCTCTGGCATCTGGAACCCATCTGGTAAACTTCTCAATGTAGTTTCCGTGAGTCTGAAAGGGCAAGAAATGGAAGTCAACTGTGGCCAGTGAATTACGAAGTAAGGAAAAACTGGACAAACTGAGGCATAAGTAAAGCAACACTTACATTTCCCGCTTCTCCCTCCTAGTGGTTAAAAGCAGAACTACAACTGTCAAAAGCAATCGTGCTGCAGCCTGCTTTAGCGCTAGCTAAAGCAGCGCTAGCTAAAGCACGCTGCAGCTTCAGCTCAAACTTTACAACTTCCCCGCAGAGCAAATCTTACGAGTCATGTGCTCACACTGTACATCTGGTAGCAACACGTCGGACCTAAAAATGTGCTAAAAATGGCAGTTTTTACACAACATGCCAGAATTTTTATTTTTTTTTGGGGGGTGTATATATGTATGTTGTCCTTCGGGAGTGCATTAGGAGGAGAACGCATGGATTTGTAGGGGTTGGATGAGGAAAAAATTTCGGAACTACGCTGCTCTAGGTGGCTGCATGTTGGAGTAGCTCTGTTGGCTATATGTAAGTTTTGCCTTTTTTGGGACATTTTTCTTCTAGTTACTCAAGAAAAACTTTTTTGTTTTTGGACATTTTACTTTTCTGTTTCTGGTGCTGTGAAGCTTAGAGAATTTTTACTGCTATTTTTTCACTTTTTCACTTTTTGAGCATTTGTTATGCTGAGTAACCATGGCAACAAGCAGGTTTACAATCGGGAGCAGCTGATTAGCATTGGAAAGGCTGAAATAATACCTCAACTGAAGCCACAAATCCCAAATGAGCTAAAACGCAAGAAGCGTGGGTGCAGAGTGGGAGCAAAACGGAGACAGATAAAGAGGAAATTCAAACCATCTCTTCCATCGATCATAATGGGCAATGTGAGATCACTGGCCTACAAGATGGAGGAACTCCAAGCCCTTTCAAGGACTCAGCCAGAGTTTCAGCAGTGCAGTGTTATGTGTTTCACTGAGACGTGGTTGCAGGACCATATCCCCGATTCCAGCGTCTCTCTGCCAGGATTCCTGACTGTACGAGCAGATGGAGATCTGAAGAGGAGCGGGAAAAGAAAAGGAGGTGGAGTGGCAGTGCTTGTCAACAACAGATGGTGCCATCCAGGTCATGTTTCAGTGAAATGTCTTCTCTCCAGCCCAGATGTTGAACTATTGGCAGTAAGTTGTCGCCCATATTATTTGCCAAGAGAGTTCACCAGTGTTGTCTTGGCAACCGTTCATATTCCACCTTCAGCCATTGCTGAAAATGCACGTGATGCCGTCAGTTCCGTTGTCACTAAGCTACAAACCCAGCACCCCAAGACATTTGTGGCTATATCTGGTGATTTTAATCATGCCTCGCTCTCTGCTACACTTCCAACATTTCAACAGTTTGTCAGCTGCTCCACTAGAGAAAGCAAGACATTGGATTTGTGTTATGCAAATGTAAAGAATGCATACATGTCCAAAACAAGACCTCCTCTGGGACAATCAGGTCACAGTCTTGTTTTTCTCTGCTCAGAATACAAACCACTTTTTCAGAGGCAACCTGTGACAAGAAGAACTGTGAGAAAATGGTCACAGGACGTTGCAGGGTTGTTTTGAGACCACAGACTGGATGACTCTCTGCCAAGGATATGATGAGGACATCAATGCCATGACTGGATGTGTCACTGACTATATAAACTTCTGTGTGGACAACATCATACCCACCAGAACAGTGAGATGCTTCGCTAATAACAAGCCCTGGATCACCAGTGAACTGAAGAATCTGCTAAATGAGAAAAAAGAGCCTTCAAGGAGGGAGACAGGGAATTATTGAGGAGTATACAGAAGCAACGGAAGATCAAGATCAGAGACAGCAAGGAGGCATACAGGAAGAAGTTGGAGAACAAACAACAGAGGAACAATATCAGAGATGTCTGGTCAGGGATGAAGAAGATCACAGGCTTCAAGCAGAGGAAGGATTGCACAGATGGCAGCCTGGACACAGCCAATGAACTGAACAAGTTCTTCAATAGGTTCAGTTCAGGAACAAATCCAGCATCCTCCTCGCCTGTCCCCAGCAAATCAGACATCCCATCCTCCTCTGATCCAACATTTTACCGGCACACGTCAGCTCTTTTGTCTTCTAACACAGTCATGGACTCTTCTGGTTCTATAAATCTGTCTCCAACCAAGTCAGGAGATGCTGCTGCTCCATTTACCTCCCCCTCCCACCTATCTGTCTCTAGAAGTCAGGGGAAGAGGCATCTGGAGAGACTGAACAGGAACAAGGCTGCAGGTCCAGATGGTGTCAGCACCAGCGTACTGAAGGCCTGTGCAGAGCAGCTCTGAGGGATTCTGCAGCACCTCTTCAACCTCAGCCTGGCCCAGGAGAAGGTTCCAGTCCTGTGGAAGACATCCTGCCTTGTTCCAGTTCCAAAGAAAACGCCCATCAATCAATGACGACTACAGACCGGTTGCCTTGACATCCCACATCATGAAGGTCCTGGAGAGAATCCTGTTGGTCCACCCGAATAAGCAAACTAGAACATATCAGGACCTGCTGCTGTTTGCTTATTGCCATGGAGTTGGAGTTGAAGATGCCATCATCCAGCTGCTTCAACCAACCCACTGTCATCTGGACAAAGCAGGCAGCACTGTGAGGGTCATGTTCTTTGATTTTTCCAGTGCATTTAACACAATCCAGCCTGATGTACTTTGCCAGAAACTCCAGAAGACACAGGTGGGGGCCTCAACTATCGCCTGGATTAAAGACTACCTGACAAACAGACCACCGTTTGTGAGGCTGAAGAA